AAAAAAAAAAAAAAAATTGAATACTCAATATATACCAATAACAAAAGATGAATACAAGTCACATTTGACTTCTGCAATGACAAGAGGTGCTCAAAGTGGTTACCATCAGCATCCAGACACTTCTGATTATAGCAAACTAAAAGTCATACATAGGTAACATCACTTAAAATGTGCTTACATTTTTAGCACCTTTGGTATCTAGGCTTTTTATTATGTTGTATGCGTTATGAAACACCATTTTAAAAGAAAAAAATGATCGGGCTTGGTGGCTCAGCCTGTCATCCCAGCACGTTGGGAGGCCAAGGTGAATGGATTGCCTGAGCCCACAGGTTTGAGACCCGCCCAGGCAACTTGACAAGACCTCGTCTCTACAATAAATAAAAAATGAGCCGGGCATGATAGCGTGTGCCTGTAGTTCCGGCTCCTTGGAAGGCTGAGGTGGAAGGATCACCGGAGCCGAGTAGGTCAACCCTGGGTGGCCATGAGCATGCCACGGCACTCCAGTCTAGGCGTTGGAATGAGACTCCAAATCAAAAAAAGAAAAAGAAAAAAAGAAAAAAATAAGGTCTGAAAAATAAGGAAAATGGCTAGACAAACAAATCCATGCATAATCACCAATTTTGAAATGCACAATGAAGAAATGAACAGGGTGACTGAATTATATGGAGTCCTTGAATGTTGATTTGGAAGTAGATCCGGTGACAAATTAGGATGGAAATCAAAGTCATTCAGCCTCTCTGGCCTTCTGTTCCTTCATTTATACACAGGATCTTAATTGGAGGGAGGCTCAAATTGTATAATAACTATTGCAAACTGTAGAGTACTAGTCTCACATGGCAGCATATGGTTATTCCCAGGCTCTCAACATGCCGCTGTTACTAATTAAGTAAATCTCTTGACAGCTCTGAGATGTACAATATTAACTGGAGCCCAGAGATTCCATATACCTTGAAGCCATAGATTTTGGAGCTGATAAGAGCCTTAGAAATGATCTAGGGCCACATTTCCATTTTGCAGATGATTAAATTGAGCTCTGGAAAGGTTCATTGACTCACCCGAAGTCACCCAACAAATTGATATATAAACTGGGACTGGAAGTTGCGTTACCCAAAGCTCTTGGTGGTGCTAATTCCTTCTCCTCACACTTGACCTTCGGAGGATCTATGGGAAACATCTTGTTGCCTCTCAGTTTAACCCTGGCTCTCCTCTCACTGCCACGCCCACCCGGGTACTGCTGGAGGAAGCCAGCTGTCCTACCGCCACCGTGATGTGCTCTAACCACTGGCCAGCATAACCCCCTTAGAAGGGTGGGAGACTGCCTGTGGCTGTAAGCCGATACAACCTTTTTCTGAGAAGTAGTTGGAAACTTATAGCAAGTATCCCCAAATGTTAATATCCTTGGTCTTAATACTTCCACTTTTAGCAATTTATCCCAAGAGAATCATCACACACACATCGCCATCCTATGCAAGGATTATTTCTAGGATGAAGCATTACGTATTTCAAGTTTTATTTATACATTCAGAAGAGGAGGCACCCTTAAGTGTGTCCCCAAGAACAGGGAATGTTTTAGATAATTGCTGCATTATTTGTCTAGAGTATGATGCAGACCCCAAAAGCAATGATTTTAAAGTGATTTAAGCCTCGATGGGAAAGTGCCCATGGCACAATCCCGATAAAGGAAAATAAAAGAAAATAGACGAGATGCTCAGAACATCCCAATTTTGCTTTTGTTTTCTAAAAATGCATAGTCTCCCCTTATCCACAGTTTCATTTTCCAAAGTTTTAGTTACTTGAAGTCAACCCAGCATGAGCCATGGATCAATGATCCTCCTTCTGACATAATGTCAGGTCAATAGTAACCTGATGATAAGTCACAATGCCTACTTAATTCATCATGCAGGCACTGGATCATTTCACATCACCATAAGAAAGGTGAGAATGAGCCTGGCTCGGTGGCTCAGCCTGTAATCCCCCGCCTTTGGGAGGCTGAGGTGAGTGAATTGCCTGAGCCCGCGGATTCGAGACCTGCTTGGGCAGGCGAGACTCATCTCTACAATAAATCAAAAAATTAGCCGGGCGTGGTAGCGCGTGCTTGTAGTTCCAGCTACTTGGAAGGCTGAGGCGGAAGGATCGCTGGAGCCCAGCAGGTGGAGGCTGCGGTGGCCGGGAGCGGCCACTGCACTCCAGTCTGGGCGACTGAGTGAGACTCCAACTCAAAAAAAAAGAAAGGTGAGACTGGTACAAGAAGATATTCTGAGAGAGGAGAGAGACCACATTCACCTAACATTGGTTCCAGTATATTGTTTAATTGTTCTATCTTATTATTAGTTATTGTTGTTACTTGTTGACTGTGCTTAATTTATAAATTCAGGCCAGGCGCGGTGGCTCATGCTTACAATCCCAGCATTTTGGGAGGCTGAGGTGAGAGGATGGCCAGAGCCCATGGGTTTGAGACCAGCCTAGGCAACTTGGCGAGACCTCATCTCTACAATAAATCAAAAAAATTAGCCGGGTGTTGTGGTGCGTGCCTGTAATTCCAGCTACTTGGATGACTGAGGCAGAAGGATCCCTTGAGTCCAGTATGTTGAGGCTGCGGCGGTCGTGAGCATGTTACTGCCCTCCAGCCTGGGTGACAGGTTGACTCCAACTCAGAAAAAAAAAATTTATAAATTCAACTTTATCATATATATACATAGAGAGAGAGAGAGAAAGATTGAGAAAACCATAGTATACAAGTATACACAGGGTCTGGTACTATCTGAGGTTATTTTTTTTTTTTTGAGTAGGAGTCTTACTCTGTCACTCAGGCTGGAGTGCAGTGTCAGGCTCTCACCTACTACAGCCACGAGCTGCTGGGCTCAGGTGATCCTTCCACTTCAGCCTTCCAAGTAGCTGGGATTACAGGTGTGCGCCACCATGCCTGGCTTATTTTTTGATTTGTTAGAGATGAGGTCTCACCAGATTGCCCAGGCTGGTCTCAAACCCATAGGCTCAGGCAGTTCTCTCATCTTGGCCTCCCAAAGTGCTGGAATTATAGGTGTGAGCCACCACGCCTGGCTATCCGAGGTTTCAGGACATCCACTGGAGGCTTTGGAACATATGCCCTGAGAATAAGGGGGACCACTGTAAACACCTATGTAGAAGAAATACGGTTGTCATTGTAAAGAAGACTAGAAGAACTACACAAAGATATTGATGGTAGATGCCTCCAAGTAGTAGGATTAAAAATTATTTTTATTTTTTTAAGTATTTTTTTCTGAGTTTTCCCTTTTTTATTCTGTGATCAGGTCCTATTTCTAAAATCTCAGATTGGGGAGTGAATTATTATTATTATTTTATTTTATTTTATTTTTTGAGTTGGAGTCTCACTCTGTCGCCCAGGCTGGAATGCAGTGGCATGCTCACAGCCACCCCAGTGTCAACTTGCTGGGCTCTGGCGATCCTTCTGCCTCAGCCTTCCAAGTAGCCAGAACTATAGGCGCCCGCTACCACGTCCGGCTATTTTTTTTTTTTTTTGATTTATTGTAGAGACGAGGTCTCACCAAGTTGCCCGCGTGGGTCTCGAACTCGTGGGCTCAAGCAATCCACTCACCTCAGCCTCCCAAAGTGCTGGGATGACAGGCTGAGCCACCGAGTCCGCCCTATTATTATTATTTTTAAAGGGCCATGCGTCATACTCTGGATGTCAAAAGCATCTTCCCTTACCGCCATTGGGAAGTCTAACAGGAGGAGGGTGTTTGGCTTTGGTTGCAGAGGGACTGACAAAGATGCCCTCTCAACACATGACTGCTGTTTCTCTGTACCAGAGCCCGCCTCAGTTTCTCATCTGTCTCCTCTGCAGTTTTCAGGAAAGTGGACTCTCTCTCAGAAGACATCTCCCTGGCCCAGTCCATTTATGACAAGAAGCTTGTGTCCATGCAGGAAAACCTCCAGGGACTGGGTGAGTGAAAGCATGAATGACAACCGTGGAAGGCCTGTGTTCATTGGGGTGGGACACGTGTGCTCACCCTGTGCCCTGGTGCCCCAGAGCAGGGCAGCCTTCACCGGCCTTCTAAGTGCAAGAGAAGAACAGTCCTGGAAGCCGAGGCTTCCTTCTCTGGCCAGAAAACCTCTGAAGAGGTTTGGGAAAAGGAGTTCCGTGTGGGGCGTAGATCTAGCCAGAGACTACAGGCAGACAAGGGAGCCAAATACAGGCCATTCCCAAAATATCCTTACGTATCTGAAAAGAGTTTCAAGACCTTCCAGAACCCCCTGTCAGGTCAATGCTTTCCTCATCACTGCCTTAAGCCGTGCCACACTTCTTGATGTTCCTTGCTGCCTGCTTTAACAAGGAACATTCTAAGAGAGAACAAGGCAGAAGGAACAATGACAGAAGAATTTAGAGGGGGTTTGCTCTGGCACAGGTAGAACGTTCTGGCCTGGTACCAACTAGCCGGGTGATATTTGACAAGGCACTGCTCTGTGCCTCATTCCGAAAATCCCTACGTCACCTTCTCTGCAGGTTTGTGGTGAACAGATTAAGTAAGATAACAGATATAAAAATATTTGGAGAAAGTTTAAAAATAAAGTTTAAATGGGAGATTCTTGGCTACCTCAGGAAAGTTATGAAGATATGTTCCTGAGAATGTGGCGGTGAGGTGGAGAAAACATCCTTTAGGAATTCTGTTTCACATCACAGTCAAGACATTTGGTAAAAATGGGATCGCAGCCAGGCGCAGTGGCTTGTGCCCTGTAATCCCAGCACTCTGGGAAGCCGCGGTGGGAGGATCACTTGAGTCCAGAAGTTCGTGACCAGCCTGGGTAACAGCCAGACCTCATCTCTACTAAAAAAATTTAAAAATTAACTGGGCATGGTGGTGTGGGCCAATAGTCCCAGATACTTGGGAGGCTGATGCGGAAGGATCTCCAGAGCCCAGCAGGTCGAGGCTGCGGCGGCCGGGAGCGGCCACTGCACTCCAGTCTGGGCGACAGAGTGAGACTCCAACTCAAAAAAAAAAAAAAAGAGAGATTCCATAGAATCACAGACTTTTCTTTCTTTCTTTTTTTGAGATTGAAAAATATAGTTTATTTAGAAAGTAAATCAGAGAGAGAGAGGAGATTCACCTCTCCAAGGGAGGGGAGGGGGCCAAAGCTTAGGAAACATGGCAGCCATAGCTCAAAGAGCACATGGCCACACCAGAGTTTAGTTTTTTTGTTTTGTTTTGTTTTGTTTTGTTTTGTTTTGAGTTGGAGTCTCACTCTGTCG